CAACATTACATGGCAGGTAGAATAAATCCCCAGGCATCCACTGTATATGTCCATTTGAAAATAGTTTCAGAGACACGAAATCTCCTCCAAGGCGGTCGAGTTGTTGGAAGGAATTGGACACAACAAGATCCGGTTTCCACACGTAGCTATCTGGTGGTCTGATAAACTCAACTCCGTCATACATCTCAGAATTCCAGGTGAGAAACTGATCAGACCACGTCACGACAAACCACCCTGTGCATAGGAGTTGTTGTTGAGACTCAATGTATTGGCTCAATGTGTGTAGATGAAAGTCAAATTCAACTGTAATAGTTTCGGATTTGTTGTAGACGGGCCTCTCGTTTGGGTTGTTGTTCCAGATGATGTCATTGTAGAGGCGGAATTCACCAGTGGCGTTTCTGAGCTGTGTCTCAACAGACACAAAACCACAAGCAAGAATAAACAAAATTGCTGACATCATGGTCGTATTGCATCAGACCTTATCTTCTTCCTCTGCGATTGACATTGGTCAAAAGTGCTTCTTGTGTATTTCCTGAAATTAATATGAAAAATGAAGTAATATGAAATAATTCTTTCTGAATATATGTAAACAAATCTGGTTTTGTGGTGTTGAAAGTGCTTATCAGTTCTGAAATTTGATAACTCGCTGACCGTGTTGGAGCACATATAATATATTCCCACGACTACAAGCGTTCCTTCTCAGGCCTTTCGGGTGTGTGTGTTGAGTATGTGTTTGTTGATTTGTTTTATCAAAACCGTTTTGGATAATCAATTGCTCACCATAGGTACGGTTGGGTAACAAAAGATTTTCTTTTTCTTTCCACTTACATATCGCCGTAAATGAGGCTTACATGACAAATATAGCCTTGAGCTTCAGACATTTTGTAAAGAATCGAATAGTGTGAATGGAAGCTGATATTTTCGCCCTTTCCATGTGCAAGATATGTGCATTTCAATGGGTACGATGTAGGTATATTTTGCATCTTTATAGCCTCAGATGGCCAAAGTATTGTTTGCAAGTTTCATTCCGCTGCTTACAATACATGGGGCGATGAGGTGAAGATTATGCGTCATACGAAAAGACGTTAAAAGATGTGTGCGTGTGTGTGTGAGTTCATGCGTGCGTGTTTGTCGTTGACGGTCCATATGAATGCTGTTTGTATAGTTCTAGTCCACACAGATAGCACGCCACAATTTATCATTGATACCCCACTCAGACACAGTAAACTGAATGTCAGCCGACCAGGCAGGGTAAAAAGAAGCACTGTTTTTTTAACGTCTTTTCGTATGACATATGACGTATGACCTTTCGTTCTCCGGGCAGACTCTCTATCCGCTAGACCACGGATGTAGTCTGTATATAAATGACTTAATGAATGTTAAGGGTAATGGGTACGTTATATTTTATTATACTTCTTTTTAAGAGACTGACCTGTCAGCCAACCAAAATTTGTTTAAACAATATGTTTGAGTTTTGTCTAGTTACCTGCATATTTATAACAATGCCAAGATATGTGAAGAAATTAACATAATTTCCTTTCATTCGAAATCGTTTATTTGTTGTAAATACATAACTAAACATATTTACGATATCCTGTGCGTAACTGGTTAGATTATTCAAGAAAATGAAAATATAGAAATGACGTCATTATAAAACTATGCCAGTACAAATATTCGTATAAAATGTCTTTTACATTGGTATGAGTATATTGGACCAATCAGTTAACATCAAAATAGGAAAACAATATCCATCAGGGCATACTCCACAAAGCGATCTTTGCACCAAGACAGCCGTAGCGCCCATGCATTACCACTGATAAAGGCAGCCGTAGAACTAAGGTCGCTTTGTGGGAAAGTGGCCTGCTCGCTAACTAAACTTACCGGTAAAGATGTAGTTATTTTCTTGGTGAAACACCTTAGTCCATTGTAAATCCGTATCCTTCAAGATGGTACAGTGATACCGTGTCGCAAAAAGACATGAAGTTCGTTTTATCTTTCCTGTGAGAAACGTAAAAACATTCAACCAATCTCCAAAACGTTCCATCCACGATAATGCCACCTACTGATCTGTTATCAGCCTGTACACAGATCGATGAGGTGCAACCCATATGACTGTGTAGGCAGCCTTCCCGGTATCGCACGTCCATGATGAATAACATAACAAACACCACTGTCGCCCTGTAACCTGCAACACTGGTTTACACAAATGCCATTAGGACTGATGAGTAATTACCACATGCAGACAGTTGTCGGGACATCAGTTACACAATACAAATCAGTTGATGTGTCTCGTAACATCGGGGATGTTAACAGTGATTTCCATGGAGAACGTTGATCACGTTAAAGACTGTGTGATTGATCATGAGAAGTCGTAATCTGTCTGAATCATTCAATTTCCTTTTGAGGTGTTCATTAGAGGCTGCTACGCGCATCCACTATTAAATGTCGTGATCACTTGTGAATCTAAAACCAATAAACTTGCTCTAAGCACCTTGTACACAGGCAGTCAAACCCATGGCAACCTGTGTAACCCGCTGTATGACAAAAGGGATGATTTGGATTTTCCAGCTGTGGATTTCGGCTTCATGTTGACGAATATGCAATCAGATCCAGCTTATGGCGTCAACATTTCTGCTGAAATAGTTTAGAACATTTTATCCACATTCCGCAGAAAGACATGTGTCTTACAACTGAGTACTTCAATAAAGGCTTCACCACCAAAGGCCCTATTCCAATGATAACACATTCAAAATACCCATAAAAAGATCCAAGTTAGAATTGGTCTTCAGCAACCTGTGCTTGCCATAAGCGATGATTAACATGATCGGGTGGTTAGTCTCGCATGGCATCATCCAAATTGTGTAAATCGATGCTCATAGTGTCAGTCATTGGATTGCATGGTCCAGGCTCGGATATTTACAGACCGCCGTCATATGGCTGGATGATTGCTGAGTTTGGCGTTAAACAACAAACAAAGAAACAAATATAATCAAAAGACTACTTTCGAAGCAGTTGCACATAATCGAATGCATTGAGTGAGTACATTATTGCTTAATATCTTATGTTTGCAAGGCGCTGTGTTCTGATAATGCTCAAATTAATTCTGTCTGAAAGATCCTCAAAACATTGTGTGAAGTATTTCTCCTCCCTCAAAATCTTTGTAAATGTTTTTGTGATACGTGAACAGGTTCGAGTGGGATACTGATTTTTGTACTGTACAGAGTGAAACCATCCACGACGATCTCCACTGACGAATTCCATCTCTACGATCACCTGTAACATGAACCCATACGAGAGGCTTGTCTTCAACAAATAAGAAACTATAACAGTTAAATTTGACTTTCATCTGCATACCGACACATTGAGTCACGAGAACATTGAGTCATACAGATGGACAAGTGCATAAAACCATAAACAAATAAGCAAACAAAACATGCGACAAGACATACCGATCGTTTGAATTAACTGGTTCGATGTTTGTTCGCAAAGTAAACTTTTTGCTTTTGCTTCGGCCACCGAATATATGCCCGTTTAGGTAGACAGAAACTTTCAATCACTGGTTTGCCTGGTCCAGACTGGGTAACTGTCATGGTGCGTGAGTCAGTAACTGAGTTTGGTTTTACGCCGCTTTTAGCAATATTCTAGCAATATGTCGGAGGACACCGGAAATGGGTTTCACACATTTTACCCGTCTGGGGAATGAATCCCGGACCTTTGATATGATGAGCGAACACTTTAACCGCCAGACTACCCAACGGCCACCATGATATGTTTTGAAAACTGCTGATTGTGGCGTTAAACCATCACTTGATAAGCATCCTAAACGTGGTATGATCACATCTTATCTTGGTCCCATGTCTCTCCAGTGCATGCCGCAAGAACAGATTGAAACAACACGTTCAGAAATTGTTGCCAGGCTGACCCTGTTTTTGCACTGTGATGACTGAGAAAATCATACAATGTTTTCTATGCTAGAAACAGTTAATGCGGTCACCCGCAACTGGACGCCACGTGGCAATCAGAGTGGTTATCTTGCTTCGATATCGTCGAATAACGATCTATTATAACAGAAAAAAGGGAGAAAATAGAGACGAAGATTAGTGTGTGTGTGTGTGTGTGTGTGTGTGTGTGTGTGTGTGTGTGTGTGTGTGTGTGTGTGGACTAATGCCGGCTTAATGGTGCAAGTATACTGATTCACCATGCCGCAGTTTAACGTTTATCCCCTAATCGGACACAGTGCACTGAACCGGCCAATCCTTGTATTATCCTCCTGATGCCGAGCGTCAGCCCATCGAAGAAAAACGGACGTGTTTTTTACTGTGATAGTCACGTAATATACAAAAGTGTTCCTATTACAAACAAGTCTACAAACAAGTCTTTCCTTGGGGAGTTACATTTAATAAGAATGCGTTTTACTTATACATGTATACTATTTATGTTTACTGAAAAGGAAATTATAAAAGAAATAATTTATTATGCATATTTGTATGTATATCTTGAGATGAGGTGAGATGAAGCCGGTTCAAGATAACTTCACTTATATAGTGGTCTGCGTGTCGGCTTGTACTAGTCGGGATGTATGCCAGTTTCATAGTGGACTTTGTCACTGTCAGCCATTTGAAAAGACACCCTTCAAGCTGTAAAAAAGCTTTATAGATTGTGTAAACATCATTACCTCTTTACTTTTTGCACTTTGAAAATCAAGGATCGTGTTCAGAATCTGCTAACGATACCCGATGTCTCAAATGACAGCAAATCTAAGTCTCTCGTGGGCCAGTGACGTCATTATACGCGGGACCAACGCCTGTCAAGGGTAGCTTAATGATTCAGGCGTTTACTCGTCACGTCGTGGTTTTATTTTCTGCATCGGCACAATCTCTGGAAAACATTCCTGGGAGCCTGAGAAGATTTGTTTGCTCCTTCAGCGACTGGTTTGGCTGCAAACACATGAGTTCGACTTATTTTGTTTAATTAATCGATAATCATAAATTGCAACATCTTTATTCACATGAAAGAATCACATTAAAAGCAACTCATATTGTCATAGACTCCTCTAATTACTTCTATAAATATATGTCCATTGCACGATTCTGACTTCATCATTTGTGAATCGCTATCAAATAGATGACATCAGGTGATCGCGAAAATGTGACCATATCCTGTCCCACCTGTTGCTCACATCACAAACACGCGTAAAGGCAAGTCAAGTGTTCACCTGAATAAACACAGAAACTTCTAGTTCATGTTTAAATAGGGAATTGCTTCAGACATCATTGTGGTCACTAATTGGTAAAATTTGAAAGGATCCACGTCATATATAACACTGTTTGACACTCTCCTTACGAGAGAATACATTCAGAAGCAAAGACATATTTACTACTCGAACTGATCTATACGAGAAATAACATGTAATAGCTTTAAACACACGCCATCAATGATTCATTAACTAGAAGCCCAAGTTCAAGCCGATGTATATCAGTGTTATTGGAATTCCCACAAGTGAAGGGATACACAACAACCAGAAGAAAAACAAATCCAGTGCTTTGCTCACTCGTTTCCATGTGACGGGCTGAGTAGTCTTCGCCTGAAGCTCTTGTAACTGTCCAGATTCCTCAATTGCAGGTTTGTGACGGTTTCCAAACCGGCCAAATGCATCGACCTTTTCGACCCAAATTGTGAATCTTTGTAATGTTTTACGAATGGGTTTCGATTCACTCTGTCCACAGAACCGGACACTGACGATGCTGACGATGACAAATACTGCAGACATTGTTAGTGTGAGTCCAAGGATGATGATGAAGGGCGATATACCCTGGGAGCTCTGGGGTATCATGTCTGTGAGAAAGCCCATGTAGACCCCATATGACAGAGGAATCGTTATGGCAAAGGATATTTTTTCTCCTGAATCTGCAGGAATGAGAAACACAAATGTCCCCAGGACGGACAGGATCAACACAGGGAGGATGAAGTTGAAGACAAAATGCACAGGGCGTCTGTCCAGTATAAGCGTAATAAGCACATGTGATATTGGCTTGTTGTCAAAGGTCTTTTCCTTGGCTGTGATTGATGTTGGTTTTAGCCTCCACTGACCGCCTATGTTTGAACTAGATGTTCCAGCTACTGACTGGCGGACTTTCAGGTCAACTTCTGACGTCGAATATGACCAGACGACAATCTCCATGGAACACTTCAGGCTATCAAATGGATACATTAGAACGTCCGTTTCACAATGCAGGTAGAATAAGTCTCCTGTCATCCACTGCACGTGTCCATAAGAGGATACTTTCAAAGGCACGAAATCTCCTCCAATGTGGTTTAGTTGTTGGAAGGAATTGGACACAACAAGATCAGGTTTCCACACGTAGCTATCTGGGGGTCTGATAAACTCAACTCCGTCATACATCTCAGAATTCCAGGTGAGAAACTGATCAGACCACGACACATCAAACCACCCTGTGCATAGGAGCTGTTGTTGAGACTCAGTGTATCGGCTCACTGTGTGTAGATGAAAGTCAAATTCAACTGTTATAGTTTCGGATTTGTTGTAGACGGGCCTCTCGTATGGGTTGTTGTTCCAGATGATGTCATTGTAGAGGCGGAATTCACCAGTGGAGTGTCTGGCTGACTCGATAGACACAACACCAATCACCAAATTACAGATTGTGAAGAGCAGCATGATTGCACAGATGGTAATGTAGAACTTAGCAGTGTAGAGTTTTGATGCCGTGGAGCTGCAATAATGAAAAGATACACGTGTCTCAGAGGTAAAATAAGAGGGAATGTAAAATAGTCAAATTGATATTGTTAGATTGTTTGATATATCTAACGCCGCATTCAGGAATATATATAGCTCGAGGCTGGACCCGCGTCAGCGAGCAAGAACACCCAATCCATTTAGTGTCTCTTGCAACAAACATCGGTTAGAATAGAGGGATGCTTTAATTAACGCTATACTAAATACACAACGTACAATGCATTCCATTCATTGCTTTCCAACGAAAACACGAGCTTGTTTAATCGATGGCATTTGCATTTTCTTTCATCGGTAAATGCAGGGAAATGAGAGCGACAAAACCCTTTTCATGTCCATTACAAATTTGCTCAAATGAGAGTTGATTGTACGATTCCCACTATCCTGAGCATGTGTTTATTAATTACTATCAAATTGTGATTAAAACTCGCTTTTCGCGAAAAAGGGAGCAGATCCTGCCCCACTAGTGGCACCCGTCGCAAACACATTCAAAGTCAAATCAATTGTTTAACACGGGGACAAGTCAAAATAGGGAATTGCATCGGACATTTTTTTTGTCACTGATGCGTCAAATTTGAAACTTTCCCCTATATGTCTACCATGAAAATGGTTGAAAGCTTTGCTCAATCATTGAATGTTGTAACCTTGATCAAACAACTACTGACACAGAGTTGTAATCTTCGTAAAAGGGGCATGCTCGATTGACCTCAAAAGTTGCGAAATGTAGAAATTGGGAGAGTGTTTTGTCACTCTGAATCTTTATGCATACATCTAAATATGAATCAGATAAAATGGTCTCACCAGTCTCCTTTATTCCTAGTTCAGGTGAGTAAAACAATTGAAGGGAATTGTTATTCGGTGCTTATTGAATACAATTTTAACTGAACCATCTAGCCATGTCGGAGATGTCAAAAATGTAAAACAATTGCATTGAGTACGCCGACGACGGACGACCTGCGGCGACAAAAATCCGTTTAGGCCAGGTGAGCTAAAAATAAGTTGTATGCTGGATGTCCTGATGTCGGCTCCTTCCTTCACAGAATGCTAATCGCGTGTTTTGAGGCACAGAAATTGTGGGTCCCTATATTATCGTATATTTTGACAAAAATGATAAAAATTCATCACATCAGAAGTCTCAATTCACCACATTCTTATTCTGAGATATAATTCTAATGGTTTCGCAAATACAATTTTAGCAGTACGTCACGTTTTTGTATGTGACTGGTCAAATATTTAATAAGTTAATCCGAAATCTTACCTAATCAGCGTTCTGGTTATTCTAAAAGACATTGCCCTGCATGACTGTTTCAGTTTGATCACCGCAGACCTAAATATTTGTTGAAAAGTTTATTTCTCAATAATTGTTGGTGGGCATTATAATTACAAAATGCAGATTTGCATTCACTACGTTATTCAAAGCATATGTCAAATACATTTTTGACAGACAATATCCATTTTTGACAGAAATATTGAAACAAAAATGAAACATTGGATCAGTAAGGTCATGTGACGAGAAACTGATCGCTCTTATACCGAAATAAATAAAATATATAACGGATAAAACCATTCCCATATTCATAAGAAATAGTGAATGGTGATGACAAACCTCTTACGCAATTGCAGATAGGCTAATAACATGTGCTACCTCTCAATGATATAATGAATAAAGTAAAATAAATAGAAGGGTCATATTCCAGTTAAATGATTTGTTCAAGTATGTTACTTACCAGTCCTCCGAAAATCAGTTTAGATTATTACCATTATGTTTGTCTTTGCCTTTATCGCCAAACACATCTGAACCTTTTCGATGGACACTGTCAAGTCATGGAAACAGTTGAACAGCTGCATTTATCCCAAAGAACTATCTGCTATCAACAAGCACAATGATTTACGTTGACAAAATCCGCTCATAAAATCCCAACTCTGTTCTGTTTGCACACAATAGCTTGGACTGTTCAGGATGTCAAAACTCGGAGTTGTAGTGTCCTAACATTTCACAATGAAACACGAATTTCCAGCATAAAAGGAACAGGTGTTTTGTGCGTCCAACTACTTTCGCAGTTCATTTACAATTTACGGGATCCAGACAGTGCAATGTAAACATGGGCACAGAGGCCCAGAGCATCACAGCAATCAATAACCGTCAGTACACGTTATCACAGATTCCATTGTGCAGCAATATTAATAATTGGCACCAACTGTGATACCATCTGTGGAAACCAAGGAATCTTTGGTTCGTGGCAGTCGCAGACGTTGCTGCCTTCAAGATAAACACATGTGCCCTAGTGTCACCTTAACGCATATGTCTAACTGCACACATAAAAATAACATAATATTGTGAGTTATTGATAATTATATGCAATTTGCACATGAGAATTTTAACAATTTTCAATGCTGAATGGTCAGTAAACATGGAGATGACGCCAAATTGGTCCATTCTGGAGAAAAATACGATATGATTTTAATCATTATTCATGTCTCTTAAAAGCATTTTATCATCTGAACACTATTTCCGATATGTAACCATGACGTTTGATTCGTCCTTCCTCATTTATTCTCACAAAACGTATTGCATAAACCAAAGCACGGGGCGTACAGTTTTGTGTTTTCGGTCGAGAAAAACTAATGTCATCACTGATTTGCAGTGATCCATTCATATAGCTTTCACTGTCGTTTTGCCTTTTGTGCGGAAAGGAATCTGTTTTGACGGATTATTGACGGAGACTGGTTATTCTCTGGTGACGGCGCTTTGTATTTCTGATGGCGCATCATTATTGTGCATACTCAAGTCTTAAAAAAACAAAGATCTTGTCATTGATTCCTACGCACAATTCACAATGAATATTTTTCTCAGAGAATTACTATAACCTATTCTACTAAATACGACATATATATTTGATGGTTCGTAAGAAACATTTTGTCATTAAAACACCGCAATGGACACCAACAGTACTGGAATCGCTATCAACAAAGGTATACACAACACCCAGAAGAAAAACAGATCCAGGGCCTTGCTCACTCGCTTCCACGTCATTACTTGAGTATGTTCCTTAGCCTCGGAATCATCTGATTGTTCTGTGTCCTCAGAGATATGGTTCGGATGCGACCTTTTTTGTCGACCACAGCTTTTAACATGTTCAACCCAGACGGTGATTCTTTGGAATGCTTTAGGAACGGGTCGTGAATTACTGCGTGCTGAGATCCTGACACTGAATATGCTGAGGATGACAAATAACGCAGACAATGATAGCGTGATTCCAAGGAAAATGATAAAGGTGGACACACCCTCGGAACTTTGTGGTACCATGTTTGTTAGAAATCCCATGTAGACTCCATAGGAAAGAGGAATTGTGATGGCAAATGATACTTTTTCTCCTGAATCTGCTGGAATGAGGAACACAAATGTTCCTAGAAGAGAGAGAATCATGACGGGAAGGATAAAGTTAAAGACAAAATTGGTTGGGAGTCTTTCTAGAATGAGTGTAATTTTCACTGTTGACATTGTTTTGTTGTCAAAATGTTTTTTCAACGAAATGATAGTGGCTGACGTCAAACTCCACTGACCTCGTATATTGGAACTGGACACTCCAGCACGAGATTGCCGTGGTTTCAGGTCAACTTCTGTCACTAAGTGTGACCACACAACCAGGTCCATAAAACACTTCAGGCTATCAAATGGGTACAACTCAACATCCACACTACATGTCAGGTAGAATAAATCCCCAGGCATCCACTGTATATGTCCATTTGAAAATAGTTTCAGAGACACGAAATCTCCTCCAAGGCGGTCGAGTTGTTGGAAGGAATTGGACACAACAAGATCAGGTATCCAGATGTAGCTATCTGGGGGTCTGATAAATTCAACTCCGTCATACATCTCAGAATTCCAGGTGAGAAACTGATCAGACCACGTCACATCAAACCACCCTGTGCATAGGAGCTGTTGTTGAGACTCAATGTATCGGCTCACTGTGTGTAGATGAAAGTCAAAATCAACTGTAATAGTTTCGGATTTGTTGTAGACGGGCCTCTCGTATGGGTTGTTGTTCCAGATGATGTCATTGTAGAGGCGGAATTCACCAGTGGCGTTTCTGAGTTGTGTCTCAACAGACACAAAACCACAAGCAAGAATAAACAAAATTGGCGACATCATGGTCTTATCTTCTTCCTCTGCGATGACAGCTTAATGTTCAGCACACTTGGCTGCCTATTCTCAATTCTGAGACCAGCCGATGAAACACACTGACTTTGGTCAAAAGCACTTCTTGTGTCTTACCTGAAATTAATATGAAAAATAATTAAGTAATTCTTTCTGAATATATGCAAACAAATCTGGTTTTGTTGTGTGAGAGTGCTTATCAATTCTGAAATATGATAACATGCTGACCGTGTTGAGGCACAAATAATATATTTGTTTTGTCTTTTGACTTTATCTGTTTGTTGTTTACCTCCACGCTCAGCAGTATTCAAGCTCTATGACAGCGATCTCTAAATACTCGAGTCTGAACCAGACAATCAAGTGATTGACATCATAAGCATCGATCTTAATAATTGGTATCTGATGAAATGCATCAACCAATTTAGCGAGCTGGAAAACCCGATCCCGGATCTTCACGGCGGAACTTCTTGTGTGCAATGAGTCATTGTAAGATTGATCAGTTAGTCCGGTTTTCAAACTGAAACTGTGTTTTGCATATGGCATATTGAATTGAATTTGGTTTACACAAATTAGTAATCGTGTGAATGGTAGCTGATATTTTGAACCTTTCCGAGTACAAAATATGTACATTTAAATGGGTACTATGTATGTATATTTTGTATCTTTATAGCCACATGCAGATGGCCAAAGAATTGTTTGCAAGTTTCATTCCGCTGCTGACAATACATGGTGAGGTGAGGTGAAGATTATGCGTCATACGAAAAAACGTTAAAAGATAGTACTTCTTTTTACACTTACACTCTTACGCCGCGACGTGCGTGTGTGTGTGTGCGTGTGTGCGTGTGTGTGTGAGTGCATGCGTGCGTGTTTGTTGTTGACGGTCCATACGAATGCCGATTGTATAGTTCTAGTCCACACAGATAGCACGCCACAATGTATCATTGATACCCCACTCAGACACAGTATACTGAATCTCAGCCGACCAGGCAGGGTAAAAAGAACTACTATCTTTAAACGTCTTTTCGCATGATGTAGGCAAGCATCGAACTACCGACCTTTCGTTCTCCGGGCAGACTCTTTCCACTAGACCACGGATGTAGTCTGTATCTAAATGGCTTAATGAATGTTGAATGAATATTTTATTTATTCACAAAAAGTGTTAGCTCTTTTCTTACACCTTTCGGTATCCTTATATGTTTTATGCTGCAGTGAATAGGCTTGTAACGAAACATTATCTTTTATCCTATTAAAAACATCTAGTAGTCGGAAGGCTTCTCTTCCGTGATAATCACATTCTTTATCAAACCACGGACTGTCGCGTCCATGACGCTGAACAATCCTACGCTTTGTAAAATCTGCTGCTTTCAACAAATCGTCCGTAAATTTACTAATTGCTGCATTTATGTCTGTTAATGCTAACGTAATACAATCATCAAACAAATGCTCAATTTCATCACATGAGACATTTTCTCTTAACCGATCACCAAAGTTATCACGCCAAGTAGACTTAAAACAAACATCCGGCTTCACATTCTCACCCGACATAGCATTGTCAATTTCAGTATCACGTGACATGATGATGATATGATGATGCTTTTATTCAGGTAATGAGGCCACCGGCCCATTATACACGTGCAGAGCATGATGGCATACAAATGTGACAGAGCGCTGAATTATAAGATTTACAATGCAGTGTTCAAACTGTTAATATTGGAGTTAATTATATGACACAGGTATTCCCTTGAAAATGGAATTACGTTTCTTACCAGCAAGAAATACATATTTTGCTAAATTGTTGCAAATACTTTGATTAGTAGAGCTGAATAATAAGAACATTTTCTCACGACTTGGAAACATGTGATAATAATTGTGTATGAGATTAGACCGCAGATCAAGATAGAACGGAAACACCATACAAAAGTGGAACTCATCTTCGATAGCACTTACAACACAGAGGGGACAGAAACGTTCATGTCTTGGTATATTATGATATCTGCCTGTTTCAACCATAAGACGATGATTGGATCCGAGAAAATTCAAGATATTAATTCGAAATAATGTGACATCAATTAATCGAATCCAGTTATTATATGAAAATGTATCCCTTACTGCAGAGAACAATTCAAGCTTAGAACAAGATTCACAATTATTGTGCAACACTTGATTTTCAATGTCTACGCTCCTTTGCCTAAACTGATGTAAGAATAAGTCAGATCACCAACACCCTGTTGTAGCCATACCTCTGCAAATCCGTAAGAAAACAGCAATGATTTAACCTTGAGTGCCCAGCAAGCGTTGCCATTCTCTGCCCTTTTTTTCAAAATCAAATTATTATCTTGTATCAATAGTCGAAGCCAAAATTTTATAATTTTTTAAATAATGTGACACTTTGACCGAGTTTGTCATCAAGACAGATTTTACAAAGCTATTTGGTGTGTTTCTACTCAAACCCAAAGTCAGTTTAAAGAATTTACTGTGCACATTTTCAATGTCAGGTGATGCATGGAATCCCCAAACTTCCGATGCATATGTCAAAATTGGTAACACTTTTACATCAAAAATTTTGAAACAGACATCTGGTGGCAGGTATGAGAATTTACCTAGTCTAGACTGGAGGATTTGAATCATCTTCCAAGCTTGCTGGGCTAATGTCTTCTGAGTTAAACTCCACGAGCCCAAAGAGGATAACTGGACACTGAGATACTTATAATTCGATACTGTGGTGACATCATCATTTCCTATCCTAAATTTTTCCTGATTTCTAAGTTTTCCGCCATTTCTAAAAATGACAACTTTACTTTTATCAGTATTAATAGTAGGTTTCCATTTATCACAATATAAAGATAGTTTATCAAGTCGCTTTTGAAGACCAACAACTGACACGTCCATTAAAATAATGTCATCGGCGAACAACAAGATGAACAGTTCTAGAGTATGTAGGGTAACACCATGAGCATCACACTCCAACTCCTCGACAATGTCATTAATAAAAAATGAGAATAAAAATGGAGACAGCTGACATCCCTGTCTAACACCTGACATACAATCAAAGAAATCTGTAAGACCACAATCTAATGAAACACAAGATTTGACAGATTTATACATATTTTTA